GTTACAGATTAACTTCTTTAATTTGCCAAAGCTATAATATTAGCAGTCCATTTATTGAAAAAGATAATTTTGATATTTTATTTTTTTACTACTGTATTGTTATAAAATAATGTGCAGAGATAAAATTACGAATTTCGTCTATTATTTTAAATAACACCTATGCATATTATTTCATAACAATATGGTATATTATTTAACTAATAATAAATTTTTTTTAAACAAGTTATATATTAAATTATAATTAATTTATTTAGGCATTGATGGGTAGACATCTTCAAGAGGAGACTCAATCTATAATTATGTTGTTACAACACAAACACAAAAAGAATATTTAATAAAGTTTAGATCATATAATGAAAATCAGACTAGGCAATTTATAGCAACTGAAATTAAAAAGGTATTACAAAATATTGGATTTAAAAAATTCGCAGCAATTGTAACTGATCATGGGCCTAATTTAAGAGTTGCACATCAAATTATACATAATGAATATTCATTTATTTTAAATTTAAGATGCATATCACATGCAATTAATTTAATTGCATCAGACTTAGCAAAAATCAATTTTGTTAAAGCAGTTATAGCTAATTGCAATAGTATTTTAGGATTTTTTAATAAATCACATATTGCAAATAGTTATTATAAAGAACAAATGGTAGCTATGAATATAAAAGATGACAAAATTTAATCATATACTAAAACTCAATGGGGTTCTTTGTATACTATAACAGATTCTATAATTTGATCAAAACCTGTATTTGACTAGATAAGTAAATAATAATAATTATTTTTTATTATATACTGTACTATGAAAATAATCTGGTAAATTTAGATTTGTTGATAATAATGTCTGATGAAACTCATGTGATCTGGCAATACTATATACTGTATAGCATAAACTTTCAAAGGCCTAAAATATATTGTACTTAGCATACTAAAGATGGATAATTTGAAAATAATAGCATTTGAAATGTAAAGTCCTCTGGGTGCTAAAAGCCTCTATGCTAATCATAATATTTCTTCAACTAAAATACCATATATACTGCTTAAATTGTGAAGTATCTCAAATATTTTAGTTCATGCTATACAGTAGTTTTGTCAATTCATTGATAATAAAACATATAAGTTTTGTTACTTTGTCAATAGCAAATAGTTTTGCTAGCCATTTTATTGTTAGAGTAGTCCTTAAAGTTTGGTTAATTATTAATACTACTGTCATAGCATATATAGTACTTATTAAAAACTAATATTAAATTTTTATTAATTTTCTACAGCTTTTAGAAAATCGTACTGAAATTATTTCAAATAGTAACATGTTTGGTTTACTTCAAAATGAAGAGTTTTTTTCAAAGTGTCATCAAATAGCATCTATCCTTAAACTAGTAAAAGAATTAACAAATATTATTGAAGTCTGCAATGCAAATTTAGCAGAATGCTTTATTAGTTTAATAAGACTTGCAACTAATATTAATAGAATAGAATTAGGAAATCAGTAGAAAACTTTAATGATCAATAATTTTAACCATCATTCTGAAGAATTTATTAATAATTTTTATATATTAGCCTATTGGCTTCATCTATTATATTGTGGTAATAATAATAATAATTTATAGCAAAATAAAATCTAGGTTGTAAACTAGTAAAATCTGCTATAATCATTATATAAAGTAAAATTTGCTTAGCAAATTTTGTGTTTACAGCTTATATTTTATTCTAATTGCTATTTTTTAATATTTAATATTTAATTTATTAATTTGTAGGCTGTGGATTACAACAAGCTGCATTAAATAAAATATATGAAACTGCATCAATTATTTGGTATAATTTTAACT